AAAAAAAAAGAAAAAAGAAAGGGAAAGGCAGAGAATAGCAGCATCCACTTTCACTAAAATCAAAGCAGGAAGGACCTAGATCAGACAGGCAGAAGGACTTCCTGCTAGGAAAAAGTTCCAACTCTGCTTCTAGGAGTGAAGAAGGGGAGCCAGGATGGTCAGTGGGCCTGGGGCAGGCTCTAAGTCTAATTCATTGTTCTTTCTGAGTCCCTCATATCCCCAACAGGTCCAAGTTTCAATACTGTGTTTTTCAAATATTGTCTCCCCAGGCAGGCTGGCGGTTGGGTAAACGCAGCCCAGCACCAGTTGTCAGAACATATTGCTCTCTCCTGGCACAAACTTGTGCCAACCCCCCCCATCACAAGGATACACTGTAAGTGGGGCATTAAGAATGATAATGTGAGCACCCTCCCTGAGATCTACCCTGCCTAGTCTCTTCTCTCGGAGCAGACAGGACCCCAGGCCCATTTCTAGGTCTCTGAGATGTAGCTTGGCAGTACTGTGGCCTATTAATCCCCTGCTATAGCTACCTAATACTGAGGCCAGGCCCAGGCTCCACATTTGACTCTTAGGTCCCACTGGACATACCCTGGTACCCTCCCCAGAACCACCTCTCTGAGCCCTTGATCCATCTGCCAAGGCAAACTACTCATGGTACTGAGACAGGAAGTGCAGCTTCAGGTCTCCTGGTACCCTCATGTGGTAGCCTCTGTGAGAACACCCTCTCCTGATTGCCTCATACACCTCTCACAGTTCTTCAAGATCTCCCGTCACAGTTGCTCCCTCCTAGGGAGGCTGGCTGGAGAACTAGAACCAGCCCTTCCCTGGTCTGGAAGAGGGCACAAAGCTAATGCTTACTAAATGGCAGGCTATGATATGGGGGGTAGGTGGGAGAAAGAGTGTGCAGCCACCATCACTCCTTAGGGTACACCTGGGAGGCCCCTACGAACAGTTGTGTGAATATGTACACGTACACACTTGCATGCCCACACATGTCTTCAGAAGAATGAGTTTGCTCAAAAACTTGACCTGCTAGTGGGGTGGGGCTCAAGGGAGCTGAGAGGTACCATCCTGGCTTGGGGAGGGCAAGATACAATCTGAGTCCTTTGGAGTGATTTAATTCTTTTTTTTTTTTTTGAGACAGAGCCTCAAGCTGTCCCCCTGGGCAGAGTGCCGTGGCATTACAGCTCACAGCAACCTCCAACTCCTGGGCTCAAGCGAGTCTCCTGCCTCCGCCTCCCAAGTAGCTGGGACCACAGGCGCCTGCCACAACGCCCAGCTATTTTTTGGTTGCAGCCGTCATTGTTGTTTGGCGGGTCCGGGCTGGGGATTCGAACCCGCCACCTTAGGTGTACGTGGCTGGCACCTTAGCCGGTTGAGCCACAGGCGCCGAGCCTGGAGTGATTTAATTCTATGTATCAGGGGGCTCTTATCAACCTGGATCCTGCCCCACCATGACCTCATTTTTCCTGCATCTATTTTCATGATGACAAGGTCAGAGTCACCAAGAACAGGATTGGAATCACCCAAAATGTCCAGGGAGGTGGGAGGCCTTTCCGCTGGGCCCCTATAGTGACCTCCACAGTGCTTTCACCCTTTAAAGAGGTGAATGAGGAAATGCCCATTCACCGGCTTGGGCCTCAGGCCCAAGTCCAAGTCCCCTCTTGGGTAGCCTAGTCTAATGCAGAAGACAAGGAAAGGGAGGGAAGGAAAGGAGGAGAAAGACAGTGAGAGAAGGGACAGCATTTCTACAGTCCCTTTTCCTCTGCCAGCCCCTATATGCCTTCTATTCAGCCCCAGCCCCAGAAAAGCCCCCAAATCGGACCAAGCTTAGATGGGTGGACAGAGAAGGAACAGCCACAGCCACAGCCGCCGCCACCTGGGAGCCCACCGGGAAGAAAGAAGAGAAGGAGGGAAGGAAGGCTGGTGGGAGGGAGCAAGGGAGGGAGGGAGGGAGGCAGACAGGCGGGAGGGAGGAGGAGAGAGGGAGGAGAGAGGGAGGAGAGAGGGAGGGACGGAGGAGAGACGCTCAAACAAAGAACCGAGGAGCTGGGGCTGGCAAGGGGTGCAGGGAAGGGGCAGCTAGAGGAAGGAGTCCAGAGGCACCTGGGGGCAGGACAGGGAGCCAGGTGGTCCAATTGTCCAGTCCGATCCAGACCTCCCAGGCTTGGAGTGAGGCCGGGGAGGACAGCCTGCCTCAGGGAAGGGAGGTTGGCTCCAGAGCCGAGAACTGCCTGGATAGAAATGAGGCAGGAACAGGGACTGTGGGGGAACATGGGGAGGAAATTATTAACGACACCCCACCCCCTACCCAGCCCCTCAGATATTCCTTCCACCCCCTACAAGAGCTTCTTCTTAGCTCCTCAGCTTCCCCATCCCCCAACACCTCAAGGACCAGGAAGCAGAGCTACCCCAGCATAGCTGGGACTGAAACCCCCCTTTTGTGGCCAGGGTTTCCCAGTCAAGGTCACCGAGCCTAGCTATATCCTCCCCCCAAGGTATGCTGAACAGCAGGGGCTGAAGGGGCTGAGGCTAGGCTGCCAGCCTTCTTTCCAGCCCCAGCCTTCTCCCTGGCCCTCAGCTCCGCATTTCAGGGCCTGGCTTCACAGCTGAAGGGATAGGTGTGCCTGTGCTCCTGCCTGCCTAGACACCATACGCCATGGGGTTCAGGCACATCAGCTGGGAAGCCTGGAAAGAGGCCCCAGCTCCATCCAACCCCCTGGGCTGGGGTGAGGTTCCCAACCCCTGGGTGCAGTTTCCCCATCTCTGCAACTAGGATAGCAATTGCTGGGAGACAATTTGGATGAATTCAAGAGGATGGGGATCCCCCCTTGGCCCAGCTGCAGTGTGGACAAACTGATGCCTTCAGTTCACCCCCTCTGATCCCCTCCCCTTCTCAGGCATCAATGTGTTGGTGACAAAACACAGCTATCTCAAGAATTAGGAGTTATTTATCCAGATGCCCAAGCTCTACCTCCTCCTGCCAGTACTGCCTCATTCCTGGACCACCTTGACACCCACCTATCCCCTCTGCTCCAGGCAAGTCCACCAAGCTCCTGTTGTCCCCAGTCCACTTCACTACTTGGGCTCCCGGTTCAAACTGGGGCCCAAATGCAGACTCTCCCAGCTCACCTACACTCCACATACAAATGGGCCCTTATGAAAAGCTGTGGGACTGGTGGTCCTTCTGTCCTGCTGCTCTGGGAGAACCCCACACACGTGTGGGGCGGCCAGTATGGCGCTTCCCTCGGGGATGACCGGTCCTCTAATAGGGACACTGAGGCAGAGCAGGCGAAGCTATCAGGCAAGAGCGCTGCCTCAGGCAGTAGTGGGATAGAGCTGAAGCGGGAGAAGGGGAGTCGGAATTCCCGCTCCAGGATCTTGATGGCGGTGGAGTGGTGGTGGTGTCTGGAGCACCCACCCACCCAGAACCTTGCAGGGCAAAAGTTGCTTTGCACATTGGTGACCCTGCAGGCCCACACATACCCACGCTGCCCCGGAGCTAAGGGGTCCGGACCGCGACAGGTACGAAGCTGGCCCCACTCCTGTCGTCCCTGTGTCCGCGGGCAGACCCCAGGCTCTCCAAACCCAGCTCCTCAGACACTTCTGCGGAGTTGCAGTGCTACGGGTCCCAGAGGGGTCACGGGGTTGGCCGGTCGCCTGCCCGCTCCCTCCCGGTCCCAGCTGCACTCACCTCTTCCGCCGCGGCTGGGCCTGGGTGCCCGGGCGGCGCCGGCACTGAGCGGCTCCCGTTGGGCCGGCCGGCGCTAGCGGCCCCCCGGGGCCATGGCCCTGCCCCGACCCTCTCGTCGCCGCGCCTGAGCCGGGATCAGCGCCGCGACCACAGCTTAACCGGTTCTACGGGCTTCGGGCGCGTCAACACCCGAGGGCCCGGGCCCTAGCCCGGGCCATGGGAAGGCTCAGGGGCGCTCGGGGCCGCCTCCCCCGGGACGGGCTGCGGGCGCCCCCTGGTCGGCGCGCCGAGGGCGCATTCCCCAGCGTGGGGCGCAGGCGTTGGCGCGCGCTCGGCTTCGAAGCGCTGCGCTCGCCTGCCTGCTGGACTAGGGCCGGGCGGCCGAGATGGGCTGCACGGTTCCTCACGGCGCGCCTTGGCCCTACGCTGCACTCGCGGTTCTCCTGACTGCCGCGGTTCGTTCGTTCTCTCTGGTCTCGCGGCCGCCGGCGGGACGGGGCGCTAGGAACCGCGCGGGGAGCTCCGGCAATTGGCCGCCCGTGGGCGACATTTGCATAGCGCGGCCCCGCCCCGCCTGGCCCGCCCAGCCCCACCTCCGGGGCGGGACCCGCCCAGCCCCGCCCCGCCCCCGCCCCGCCCCCGCTCCACCTGTCCGCAGGCTGGGCTCAGGGTTCCTAGGCGGTGGGCAACCTGTGCCAGGGAAGAGTAGTGTGCAACCTGCACCCCAGTCCCCGTTTCGCGGGCGGGGCCCCCGCCCCGCCCTGGCTTTGTCTCTCCGTGGATACACAGCGCACATCGCGCCTGGTATTTACCCGGGTATTCAACTCCCTGGAGAGAAAGGCAGGCGCGTAAGGGGAGCGACCAGCCTGAGCTCACCTGCGCACCCTCTTTTGCGTCCCTCCTACCTGCTCCTCGCCTGCTGCAGCCCTGGTCCCGCTCGTGGGCCTCGCGGCGCAGGACCCATGACTATCTGGGCCGCTCCGCAGGTGGCAGTGCAGCCCCTGGGACAGCCGGCACCGCTGGACCTTCCCAAGGGCTGCAGCCCTCCAGCCTAGGACAATTAGTGGTGGGGGCGGTCCAGCTCTGTCTGGCCGATCACTGGAACGACTTCCAGTGATCACCTCAACCACCAGCCCTATTTCAAACCATCAGCTCCCACGGACCCTCCTTTTACAATTCCATACCCAAGAGTAGCCAGATGAACTGTGCTCTTCTCTCTTAAAGGGAACATTTGGGCTCGGCGCCTGTGGCTCAAGCGGCTGGGGCGCCAGCCACATACACCTAAGGTGGCGGGTTCGAATCCCCAGCCCGGGCCCACCAAACAACAATGATGGCTGCAACCAAAAAATAGCCAGGTGTTGTGGTGGGCGCCTGTGGTCCCAGCTACGTGGGAGGCTGAGACAGGAGACTCGCTTGAGCCCAGGAGTTGGAGGTTGCTGTGAGCTGTGATGCCATAGCACTCTACCCAGGAGGATAGCTTGAGGCTCTGTCTCAACAAAAATAAAATAAAATAAAGGGAACATTTGCTTTCAAATGGCCTGGTAATGACCCAAGAGCTCAGCTGAGCAGGGCCCTCCTTGAGCCCAGGAAAGGATACTCTGCCTAACCCAACACCCAAGGTCATGGCCTCACCAGCTAGGACCATTTCTCAGCCCTGCACCAAGCACTCTTCTGAGGTTCCCAGGAGCATGAGCTCTCTTTGTCCTCTCCTCCTTATTCCTCTTGTCTTTTCCTATTCCTTCCATTTCCTCCTTTCCCCCCTCTCTCCTTCCTCCTCCCTCTGTTTCTCCTTCCTTCTCCCCTCTCCTTTCTCTCCTTCTTCCTCTTCTTTACTCCCTTCTTTCATCACTCTCCTTTTCCCCCTCCTCCTCTCCTTTTTTTTTTCTTTTCTGCCCTCTCGATTCCCCTCCACCCTACTTTTTCCTTCTCTTCTCCCTCTTCATCTTTTACCTCCCACCCTTTTCCTGTTCATTTTCTTCCTCCTTTCTCCTCTTCTTCTTTTCTCCCTCTTTCTCCTCACCCTTCTCTTTCTGGCTAGCAAGACTTCCAGGGGAAGGCATCTCTGCCTCTGATGTGTTAGTTAACTGGCTAAATGTGTAGGGGCTGGTAGGGTATTAGAGATCCTGCTCAGGTTGTCCTGACTCAGGACTTAGAATGCTGCCCACATGTTTCAAGCAGAGGGTGGGCATGTAAGGCAAAAAAACAAAACAAAACAAAAAAAAACACCAGCCTGGGGTTATGGGGCTGCAGTGACATTGTCTGCCCCTCTCCCTTATGTCATCCCTTATTCACTGTGACAGGGGCTGCTGCCTGTGGCTCAAAGGAGTAGGGCACCAGCCCCATATGCCAGAGGTAGTGGGTTCAAACCCAGCCCTGGCCAAAAACTGCAAAAGAGCAAAACAAAACAAAACACTGTGACAATCATCTCTCTTCATTTCCATTCATCCATACCAGAATCACCCCTAAGGTTACTACCACTGTACCACCATTACCAATGCAGCTTAGGTCACCATCACCATAGCATCCAACACCATCCATTTCATTTTTCACAGCCTCCATGGTCTCCTCATAGCCTGGCTCACTACCTGCAGCATCAGCAGCAGCATCATAGTCACTAGACAGAACTGTTAGGACTTGCCAAAGACTCCAGGGTGCTTGGTTGAGTAGGAAAAAGGCTCAATAGATCTGGTTTTTATTTATTTATTTATTTGAGACAGAGCCTCAAGCTATCGTCCTGGGTAGAGTGCCATGGCATCACAGCTCACAGCAACCTCCAACTCCTGGGCTCAAGTGATTCTCCTGCCTCCGCCTCCCAAGTAGCTGGGACTACAGGTGCCTACCACAACACCTGGCTATTTTTTGGTTGCAGCCATCATTGTTGTTTGGCAGGCCTG